TGTCACTGCTTATTCTTTGGTATTGCTCGTATAGTTAGCCACGTTCGTGCACTACTTGAACAAAGAAACAGTAGAAGGGGAAACAAAGCAAAACAAGCAAAAGTGGTCACCATCCAGGATACAGGTAAAACGGTGCCATGTTGCTGGATTCCTCTGCAATTCTTTGGTTGCAGAAACAGCAAAATCTTTGAGTCCCTGCCAGCCAACTGGGCCTTTGATCCACCAGGTCTTCCAAGGGGCCCTAATAGTGGCCTTGGTGACAAATGCAACGTGGTGAATGTTACAGTAGGTATATGGCATACATGGGGGGCGGGGCACTTAGCCCAGGCTCTGGGATGGGAAGGGCACGTGGGCACAAGGAAGGGGAAGTCCTGCTGAGCATAAAGTGCAAGGTGGGACAAAGGTGAGACTGGACAAAGATGAGGCTGATATACCAGGTATGGAGACCTTTACAGGTGTCCCAAATCTCTGGGCTCTCTCCGAATGGTGGTGAGAACCCCTGAAGGATTTGGAAGGAGGGAGTGGGAATGCAGATGATCTGTGGTCAGAATGAAATTTCAAACCATGACACTGGTGGTTACTGGGCTGGCTGAGTCAGAGGACAATTCAGAGGCAGGAAGAGTAGGTGAGAGAAGACTTCATCCTTCATCCCCGTGAGATGTGATAGTGGCCTTACGTTAGACAGGAGGGGCCAGATTCCCAAAGCGGTTAATTACCCAAATTATGAGGCGCAGTTGGGGCCTTGGCATTTCTGGTCATTTCCCATGGAACAGGATCCCTTTGTAAAGACTGGAAACTGGCTCTCCTGTCTCCACAGCAGGGTTGCACCGTGTCCGTGACAGCGGGTGGGACTCTAGCTCAGGACACGAAGACCATTTTTTTGGATTGCAAAAGCCTCCAGTTTTCTTTTGAGCAATTCAGGGGAGATACGAGCCCAAATAGGGTAATAGAAGACTATCCTCTCAATTAGGCTAAAAGTGGATTAAAGTCAAGTTGAAAAATGAAAGCATTTAGACCAGTCTTGTTTCCTGAGTTCAGGGAGCAGTTTATACTTGTTAGAGCTCTTTTATTGAGAGGCAAGGAATGGTTAATAAAAAGGTGCCCTTGTATCTAGGAGCGACGGGCCTTGTTTTTCTTCCTTAAAGAGACAGATTTTTTGCTGTTGATGAAGGCCCTTGGAGATTGTAGTTTAAATTCAACTGGAAAGTGGTCACTGACATCCAGGGCCTGTAAAGAGAAAAGGGAGATAAATTTGAGAATTGGGATACACTCTTATTTTAGCGATGAGCAAATTCAGGCACTGGGAGGGAAGGCCAAATGCCCAAAGTCACCCAACAGATCATACACTGGTGAACACCCATCCCTGGACCAGCTCAATCAGAAATTTAGGTAGGTCTTCAAGTCACAGAATCATAGGCTTTGAGAGTCAAAGTCCAGTGGCCCAACGTTGTGTCTCCAGTGATGACCTCAGAGGGTGACACCAACCCGTCCTCTCAGGACGGTGGCATGGAAAGACAAGATGGCAGTCATACCTCCTGTTCAGTTAACCCATAAGCTTTCTGGAAGTCAAAGGTGCCGTTTGATTTGGGAACGACAGAGCTGACAATCTCTTGTCCCCTCAGCACGATCCTGCAGAAGGGGAGGGGAAACAGTCATGTTAATTCACCCTATTGATTTTTGAAATCAGACCAAGGTCCATGTCTGACATCTGGAACTGACTGAGCAGCCTGGCCCGTTCACATGGCGCTCAAAGTCCAGACCTGTGTTTAGCTGGTGCCTGAGACTGGAAAATAGCATCAGCCCCTGCCATGGCACTGTGGGTACCAGGACAGTGTTTCCCTGTGTGGACAGGTAGCCCTGGTGGTAGAAAAGAAGATTTTATATGACACATGGACACCACACCACATAGCAGTATCTTGCATCTTGAGAATATTTATTTCCTTTGCAATTATTTTCCCCTGTTCGATTATGGAGAAGGGGCCTGGCTTGTCTGTAGGACCTCCTAAGCTCCCATTTTGATTCAGAAAGAGCAGGCTGCAACCACCAAGCATTCCAGAGGCAAGAGAATTAAGGCAGAATTTACAGTTAGGTTTTCACCGGGATTATTTTTACAGTTACTTTTGATTTATGGCAAATGATACTGCTTTCTCTCCTTAGCATTATGAATTTTCCCTTAAAATTAATTTATTTTGGTAAGAAATGAATGGATTTAAAGACAAATATGGAGAAAAACCATAGTACAGCGGCTTTGCAGCGATAACCAAAAACGTGAATGTGATAGTTAAATGGGTTTTGAAAGCATAAACTCTAATGGATACCAAGTGGGGAGAAGCAGCTGGGGTCTACATGGCCCCTACAGACTAGATGAAGAATGACAAGATGAGTCAAAGAGCTAGCTCATGACCATCCATGAGCTTCCCCTGATTCCAGCCAGCTGATTTGGTTTCCAGTGTTTGCTACCAACACCACCCACCACCCGGTTAACTTTAAACTCAATCCACAAGTAAACTCTTCACATGCAGATGGAGATTTCTTAAAGCAATTCTTTCACACACAGAGAGTCTAGAACAACACAGTTAAGTAAGGTTCCTCCATTTCTCACATCTAGGTATGTGTGTGGGCAGGCCAGCTGATCGTGTAAGCTTTCTGGAGGCTTCCCCAGTGCGTGGGAGGTGTTCAATAGGTATTTGAGCAAAGAGCAAAGACTGGAATTGAGACCATTTCATCTTACTTCCCTTATTAAACATAATGCCTTTTTAGAAACCACAAAAGCCACACGCTATTAAGGAAAGCATAAAATTCAGAACAGCAAAATAAGAAATCAATCTTTAAAAAAACCACATGTCATCCTGCCATCCTTTGGCATATGTGCGTATAACACCAGGGTTCTAGTAAATACCTTTTTCGACTTGTTCCCCCACCCACCTAATCTATTGTGAACATCTTTCCCTGTGATTCAGTGTTCTTCTGCTTCATTGTTTTCAGCCACCTCCCTCCTATTTGCCAGGGGAGAAGAATGGGGCCACAGAAGGGACTTGACCCGCCCAAGGCTACATAACTGGCATGTGTTTTGCTGGCAGCCCCTCCAAATAGGAGGGAGAGGGCATGGGGCTCAATCTCCTGGAACTTCCCACCTTGCCCCCGCTTTGCCCAACGCTTAGGTTGTTTCCACTTTTGAGGGCTGGAATGAACACTTCTGCAACAAACACTCCAGGCCTGAAAGCTCCAAGAGGAACGAAGGAGGTCACGAGATGAAAATGAAAGCCAGACCTCAAAACTAGAGAAGTAAGACAACTATCTTCTCGCAGATGGCCATCTCACGCTTCCCTGGTGGCAGGCTGAGCCCTGGGAAAGGAAACCACCCATGGGACCAGGTTTCCTAGGGGCCTCCCGACCTGTGGTCTCCTCTATGGATGGGCAGATCGCGAACATTTGTGGTCTTCAGGCACCCTCCGGATTTAAGAAGCAAAAATTAAAGCCGACTGAAAATCTCCAGAGAGACTTTACAAATATAAGAGCATGTTATTTAAATGCGTGTACTTGCATTTAGAAAATGTGCAGCAAAAGCTTTAGAAGTGTGAATACCCTTGCATTAACTGGCCTCATTTTCAGAGTTTTACCCTAAGGAAGTCATAAATATATAAACAAAATGTATATATAGAATGTTCATTTCAGCAGAACTTTTAATAACAAATCTTTGGTAATATAATAACATAATGCCCAAAGATAGGGGATTGATCGAGTAAACGGTGGCATGTCTTTGTGATAGAATAATTAACAGCAATGAATGTACTGAGCTCTTACCATATAGAAAGCATTGTGTTATAAGATTTACACATTTCTGCCTTGAATCCTCATCATATATCCATGGGTGAGGCGCTACTATAATCTCCATTTTATAAGTGAAGAAACAAAGGCATAGAGAGTTTACGTCTCTTGGTCATAGACATATTAAGTAGTAGTGTTTGAATTTAAACCCAGGACTGTCTGACAGCAAAGCCCACACTTGCCACTGCTAAACTACAGTGTCCAGTTAATGCAATTTGTATACTATACAAAGCACTAGGTGGAGAGGCCTGAAATCTAATTAACTCAGCTCTCCAAGACAAGTGCCTCATCTGCCAAGAAGGAGTTTCTTTTCTAATGCATACCAAGCACTGAATGGGCTAGCAGCCTCTGGCAGATGCCTTCTACCTGTCATATGCACAGTTGGTGCTCTTCTTGACTGTGGTGTCCTCTTGGTCCCCAATCAGCCAAGTGAATCTATGGTCTGTCCTTAGGCGAATGCTTTTCCAGGCCTTCTTGGGGACGTAGGTGCAGCCCGCGTTGAAGTCGCCCATGAAAATGAAATTCTGAAAGATATGACTTGGAGCGTCAGTCACCTGGTGGACATTGTTGCCAAACACTTTTGCTCAGAACTGCTGGCACGACTCCATCTCCCATGCCCAGTAAATGATGGGTTCTGGTATGGGCTAAATTGTGTTTTCCCAAATTCTTATGTTGAAGTCCTGAGCCTCGGTACCTTAGAATGTGACTGTATTTGGGAAGAGGGCCTTTAAAGAGGTAATTAAGGTAAAATGAGGTTATACAGGTGGGCCCTAATCCAATATGACTGGTGTCCTCATAAGAAGAGGAGATTAGGACACAGAGACACAGAGGGAAGACCAAGGAGAGAAACTTCGGCAGAAACCACCCCTGCTGACACCTTGATCCTGGAGATCTAGCCTCCAGGATTATGAGGAAACAAATCTGTGTTTCTTAAGCCACTCAGTTTCTGTTAAAGCCCTAGCAAATTAATACGGGGTCTTAACTTTTTTTTTTGCCTTTTCAAAGAAGAGGCCATGGGTTTAAAAATGAGTCACAGTTTTGATGAGTATTTGGCAGGCGAGTATGTACAAGAGAAGATGTTCTTAACGGGAAAAAAGATGTTCACTATAGCTGCTTCCTCCTGTTCTTAGTCACCACGTTTCTGTAATTCAGCATGTAGCATTAGGTGGGAATAAAAGAACCCCATTAATTTACTCCCTCACATCTTTTGTCTGTGGCTTAAACATGTGAATGAATCAATGCCTTTTGTTTCCAAGCAGGAAAAATGAACTTGGGAGGTGTATTAGACAGCTTTAGCACTGTTCTTTATCTTCTATTGTCTTAAAGTTGGGAATGTATTCCTGTGGAAATTCTGTCTATTGGAGAAGTGGGAAGAACCTTAGGCCACCAACAGAATCATTCTATCTTGGAAATGTTTTTCCCTGTGGGGCTCTTGGAACAGAATTTTAATATCCTTCAATCCAGAGGAAGTATCAGATTTCCTTGTATGTACTATTGTTTGGGGCTGTTGCTGACTTTAGACTTTTCTTCAAAAACATTTTATTTTGACCTCAGTGGTCATGATTTTCCCTGAGAATGATGGGCTCAGTTGAAGACAGAATGTCGTGACCACCAGCTTCTATTAATAGAGGCAGGATTTACTGAGCATTCACTGTGTGCAGTAAGTGTTTTATAGTTTCCTTTGAATCTCACAAACACTAGGTGGTAGAAAGACCTTTAAGCTCTGTAGAAACAGCATAGAGGGCTGGCTCTATACCACTCAACTGGGAGGTTCAAGTGGAGAAGTCAAGAAACAAACACCAATCTGCCTACCTGAAGGCCCCTCAGCACGAGTTTCCCCTCTCGTTCATTTTTGTGCCACTGATGCCTTCCAAGTGCCCAACGCTTAACAGATGCTCAATAAATTCTTGTTGAATGACTGAATGAATTCATAATTTTAGGAATAAATTAATTATTCTTTCTCTTGCTCTGCTCTTTACAAATAAGCAATGAAATATACCTCTTGTGTTCTCCTTGCCCAGCTCTGTGCTCATGCTTTACTTGACTCATTTTGAACTTTTGGAAGTGAAACTGAGGAAGAAAAGGAATCACTGGAGTCACATCCCAAAAAGAGAAATGAAGAATGAGGAAGAGCTCTCTAGTGCAGGGGTCCCCAACTACCAGGCCTCAGACCAGTACAGGTCTGTGGCCTGTTAAGAACCAGGCCACACAGCAGGAGGTGAGTGGTGGGTGCGAAGCTTCATCTCTATTTACAGCCGCTCCCAGCGCTAGCATCACCACCTCAGCTCCACCTCAGATCATCAGGTGTTAGATTCTCACAGGAGCACTGATCCCTGGTGCCAAAAAGGTTAGAGACCACTGCTCTAGAGCACTTCTATATTTACTAAGTACTTTCACAGACCCTCACAGCCACAGGTGGTGGCATCACTGTTTTCCAGGTGAGGAAATAATTAAGGCTAAAGAGATGGTAGATGTATTCCCCTTCTGTGAGAATAGCACCCCTAGTTTGGGAAACTGCTTCCCTCCTCCACCATAGTGTATGAGGTTGGGGTGGAGCTAACACAGATTTAGCTAATCAGAGCATCTCAACCCCCTCATCACAGTGATTGGTTCAGGGACGGACATTTGACCTAATCAGAGCCAATCACACTCAATCCCAGGGCACTTGTTGCATTGTCAGTTGATCTAGAAGCTCTATCCTAAGCTGCTGAAGGGTGGAGCCAGACCAAAAATGGAGCCCACCCAGAGACGAAAAGAGAGCCAAGAGATGGAAAGAGTCAAGCCGAGCCCTGAGTATTTTGTCTGAGCCCTGGATCCAGCTATGCCTGAACTATTCCTGGACATCTTAGTTATAAGAACCAAAAAATTGCTTCTCTTTTTCATGAGTCAGTATGAGATTCTGTCACTTGCAATTGAAAGACTCTTGACCTCTTTCTGTTTTGCTGTTCTCAACTACAAAGGAGAATGAATAAAATAGTTACCTCATAGGGTTATTAGGAGGATTAAATAAATGTGTTTATGTCCAGCCTCAGCATGGTGCCTGGCACTAGCTATTCCCTTAGTGAATTTTGGCAGCCATTATCAGGGGAGCAGTGTATGAGTTCCTAAGACCCACATGGATAGTACCCAGGCAGATTCAGCAAGAAGGGTATTTAAGACTGAGGACTCTTAGGGAGCCACTCATTCCTCTCAAGGACCAGATTCTGCCCCTACTAGACGAGAATTCAGCAGACACAGAGGGTCGTCACCTCTGTCTTCCAACGGCGTTTCACCTCCATATAGACATCTGCCAGCTCATCAATCTCTTTAACGGATGTCTCAGGGGTAGTGTGCAGGGGGATAATCACAAAGTCCTTGACAGCTGAGGAACAGGAAAGAGGCAGAGGTCACACATTTTCTTGGGCAATGATCCAAAGACACTGCCCAAGGGAAACAGGCTGTCCTCCCAGGCATGGACTTGTTGTCCGAGTCTCCTCGTTTCCAGAGAGTCTAGCCAGTGGCCGAGATCTGAATGAGCTTAGCATTGCAAGGCTGCTATTTTCAGTACATGAAAGCCTCTTTTCTCCCACTCGCGCGTCGCAGCTAAGAAAAAGCTGGTAGACAATGTTCTTTTCTGGCATTGTGGGAGTTTCTATTTTCTCATTTTTTAAAAAACCGTATTTCCTATTTTTAAAAAATAATAAGCCTATTTGGTTTTTGTACTAAGGAAAAAAGTTTTTTCTAATTAAAAAAAATGAAGCATATCAGTTTATACTCGTCTGTGTTTGTTGTTGTTGTTGTTGTTGTTGTTGTTGTTTGTGGAGTGTCTAGAACCCTCCCCACACCAGGAGGGACTGAGGGAGCCTGACTGAGGGAATGTGGATGAGACTCGAAACTGAGCCTTGCCCACTTGCTGGTAGCAGCTGTTGAGCTCTGAACACCTCCTCTTCAGGCTTTCCCTCCTTCTACGCCTGGGTTCCCATGCCAACTCAGGACCTTGGTGCTACTGGGTGGTCACACAGTGGGGAGCAAGGACTCAGACCTGGCAGCTTGTCTGAGTCAACTCAGGACCTTGGTGCTCCTGGGTGGTCACACAGTGGGGAGCAAGGACTCAGACCTGGCAGCTTGTCTCCAGGACCCCACACTGATCCAGCAGCTTTATCTCCTGCTCCCCTCCTCAGGCCTCTGTTTCCCTCCTCATCCTCTCTTTGGACACTTTACCCATCCTAATCACTTTCCCACCAATTAGCTTGTGTGCTCACTGTGCCCTCCCTCCGAAATGCCTTTTCCCCTAGCCCTCTCGAACTTGACTTCTTCAGGTCATGGCCTAATGACACCTCCCTATGCCCGATCTCCCCATCTGAGGTGGGCCCCTCACCCTGCTAGTCAATGCATACTGCTTACTTCCTTCATGCTGTGAAATTACTTGCTTTATTTTTTTGTTTGGCCCGCTGGAACCTAGCACGGTGAAGGTAGGCTTATCTGTCTCATCCACCCTCTTGGTTCCAGTACATAGCACAGTGCCTGGCACATTGGAGGTGCTCAAAAATGTTTGTTAACTGACTGAGCGAGCGAATGAATGAAAAGATAGATGAATAGCTAACTCCTTCATCTGTAGTCCCAGATAGAGGGAACAGCTTTTCTTGCATAAGAGAGAAAACTCTAAATAGGACATGGCTGAGGTGCCATCCCATGGGAGAGAGGGAGGCGGGGAGAAGAATGGAAGTGTGGAAGCTCAATACAAACAGGTTTATTTGCAGTTCACAAAGGCCAAGGACTGTTTTGGAGAAAAAATAATCGTTACTGGGGAGGGAGCACTCTGAACACTATCCTGGTCAGGATATGTGAATGGTACGCATAACAAAGAGGATTGTTGCCTGTGCTCTCTGAAGGACATCTCTTGCCCCCAAAGCCTCCACCTCCTCTTTTCCTATTGGCAATTTTCTCACCATTCTCCCATGTTTCTCAATACTCTGCCTCCAGGGCAGAAAAAGCCAGGATGTTCATTTGTGTAGTGTAGATATAGAGGTACATACTTACAGCCCTGCATATATTTGGCCATTATCTATCTCCCCTACTACAACATAACTTTGCAGGGAGAGGGACCTTGTCTGTCTTATCCAGCACCCAGAACAGAGCCTGGCACGTAGAAGGTACTGAAAAAATATTTGATTCTCTATAGCTTCAATTGGCAAACCAAATTTATTCTTGACTTTCCACTGAGTGCCACACAGTGCTTAAGAGGATGAGCTCCTGAGCTGGTGGCTTGAGTCACAACCCTGGCTCGTCCATTTCCTGGCTGCTGGGTGACCTTGGACAAGCGACTCCACCTTTCTGAACCTGGATGTGGTCCTGATTCCCACACTGTAGGGTCATTGAAGGAGTACAGGAGCCTGGGATCCTGTACTCTAATCAGGGATCAATAATTGTTAGTGGCTAATACAAGTAGTATTGTTTTAGAGTTCTGGGTGCAATCACTTGGACTTCCTCTCTACCCCCAGTCTGTGGAAGAAACATCTATGTAGTTACTGGAAGGAGAGTGAGACCCTAGGTTGGGGGTGGGGTGTTCATCTTTGCTGGCCATTCCTTCATTTTTTTAAATGGAAGAATAACTATACTTGATTGGGACTGAGGAATTGCAATAAATAATTTCTATCAGCCTAAATGCTCCAAAGACAGTGGAGTTATCAAGGATTCAAGAAGGTGGACTCCAGGCTGGGGAGATCTTGAGTCATGGCATTCTGTGAAGCCAGCCTGGTGCCATCAAACTATACTGCATCCTCTACATTCAGGCATTAAAAGTTCTCAATGGCTTTCTCAGTCAAGCCTAAAGCCTCCCTAAGGATGCTGCATTAACCCTAGGATCGCAGCCCATACTCAGGGCTGCTGCCCATTCATGGGCTCGCTGGGGGAATCACGGGCGAGAAGGGCCTGTGGATCTCACCAGTGTAGGGTGATTGGAACCAGACCACAAAGGGTTCCCTGGAAAACACATCTGCATCTCCAGCCTGATAGTCATGGTAGAGGTAGCTCTCCTTCACGGACACTAGCTTTTCTCTGGAAGAGAAAAAAGAAACCCCACTCAGCTGAGTCAGCTCTCTTCTTACTTCTTTCAAGAAGCAGAAACATAGGTTCCCATGACTTCATTAGCTCCCAAGGCTGGAGTGCTGGAAGAGATCTTTCACCCTGAAAACAAGGCTTAGTCAGCTCTTCTCAACAGCCACGGCCCTTTGGGAACTGAAGATCTGAGCAGTACTAGTTTTCTGGGGCACCCACAAGTTAATGTTCAGACTTAGAACAAATTACTGGTAGGAAGAAAATGAGAATATGTAGTTCTAGAGTCAGCTGTGCTAGGCAACTCAGGTTTCCATTCCTGGACCAGGACTTGGCTATGAAGAAGGAAGAACTCCTGACCCCCTTGACCAGTCAGCCACTGAGTTAACCAACAAATTAGGTGTTAGGAAGCTGCTCGTGCTTTCTAATTTGCAGAGTTAATACTTTGCACCATCCCCAATTTTGACAGCAAATATTTTGGTAGATATTGAGAACTGGTAAGAGATCAAAATTTGGTTTTGATGAAAATATATGCGTTTTGATTCAATTCACAGTCATAATTTATAAACAAACCGTGTTCCGGGAAGCATAGATTATACTTACTTATAGAGAAAAGCATACTGTTCTTTATATGTTTTTCTTCCAAGTCGAGAGCTAATTACATAGTTGTATGTTGTACTTCTTGAATATCTAGAAAACATAAAGATTTTACATTGCATCTTAAAAGAAAAACATTCCCCTATTGCATAGGTTTCCCTCTCTCCAATCTGCATTCATATTTCCAATGGCATCATGTAGAAGGTCAACCATTTATCATAATCTTTGAGTATAAAATGGGCCACCATTGACTGGGAATGTGACATCTGCCAAGGATCTTTACAACTATTATTTCTTGTCCTTATAAGGTAGGTGCTATTGTTACTCCCTTTTGATGGTTTGCAAGCGCAAAGGTAAGATTTGAACCCAGATCCTACTCACTCCCAAATCCACATGCTTTGGCCTACACCTGTGGGAGACCATTAAGAACAAAGATTTCAGCCAGAATCAGCCTCAAACCGCACTCTGGCCCATGGCTGGTGCTGCACCTCTTAATTCCTGGTGGAGCAAACCTCATCAGGTCACCCTGTCCATACACTTCCCCTGAGCATTTGTCATATGCAGGATTCCTAGTAACGTTTATTTTGGACTTTCTTTCCTGTTCTGAAAACCTTCGAAACTATGATTTTGAATCAGCAATTTTTTATGTCCTGGGTACTGCAGATATGGCCTTGAGGTTCCACTGACTCTACCCCTCACCCATTCCAGGGAGACTTGACTCAGTGTGTTTGCCAAAACTGCTGAGAACTCTACCCTGTGCGGTCTAACTCAGCTTTACTTCCTCTGTCCACAAAAAGATCTAGGGCATGTCTAAGCTACAGCGTAGTCTCAGGTTCAGTTGAAAAAGAAACAGAGGGATCTTTAGGGGCCAACTTAGATACTACAGTCATTCCTGGGACTTTAGATACATATTCTAAGGCAAATCTGACCACTAGGGTCTAAGGGGCGTGGGCAATGGATTCCTGTGGGCTTCCGGTTTGGGAAGGCTGGCCCTGTTCTGAATCTAGCCTGCCAAGTCTTGAGTTGGCAAACTGTTTGCAAAGACTCAGCTGTGAGGTGACTAAAGCCCCTCTTAGCTGAAGGAAGATAAGGGGACAAACAGGCCTGGCTCTCCCTGGAGTCCACAGTACAGTATAGGGAGGTTGGGGAGAACTGAGATCACTGGGGATGGGAAGACTTGCTCCAGACCAAGGTGGGGACATACCTAGAGCCTCCCATCCCTTCCGTCCCCCATACTTCTGAACACCAACCAGAGCTACTCCAAAGATGGCTGAGGGCACTCAAGCTAGATTAGAGCACTGGCTTTGGAGTCAGACATGACCCACGTTCAAAGGCAGGCTCAGCCATTTCCTGGATGGGTGACCTTGGGCAGGTCCTTCCTATCTGTGCCTCAGGTCCCTCAGCTGTAAGGAAAGCAATCATAATATCTACCCTATAGGGCTGTTATGGGGAGTAAATGAAATAGCACATGTGAGTGAATTGACAAGATGCCTGGCATGTTGTTAGAGTATTGATGGTAGCTGTGACATGTGCCCACCGAGACCATCATCTGCCATTATAATTCCCTTCATTTTACTAGTAATAGACACTACACGTCATTAGTGATCACTGCTACATGCCGGGCACAGTTAAACGTCTTTTGTGCATGATTTAATTAGCACCACATCCCAGGAAGATGGGTTCTATTATTAGCTTCATTTTGTAGACAGGGAAAATGAGGTTAAGTAACTTGCTTGAGGTCATGGCAGAGCCAGGATCCAGACCCAAGTGTCTGAGGTGAGCATAGGCGCCTAACCCCTGTGCTACACCCCCTCTTCCGTTGTCAAAGATTGGATCCAGAAACAGAACACCTGCCGAGGCTAAAAAGAAGGAAAGCTTAGCTCCAACTCTGTGTTTTCAAATGAGAAACTGAGGCCCAGAGAGGAGAGTGGCCAAAGCTATTTCTCCTGGGCCTAATGAGGCTGGATTGACCATTCATTGTGTTTTCCTAATTACAAAAGTATAATAATGACCAGATGTACTGTTTGTTCAATCTGGATGGTAGATACATGGCTGTTATCATTTTCTCTGTGCTTTTAAGTAAGTTTAAATATTTCGGAAGAAAAAGGAAGAGAATAACATTCTCATTGTAGTAAATTTGGAAAATACAGAAAATATATAAAAGAAATCACATTAAAATTTCTTGTAAATTTATACTCTGAGATAGCCACTATCAACATTTTGGTTCACTGCCTTTTAATCTCTTATAAGTTTCTTTTTGCTTACGTAATTGAACTACTTGGCACATAGTATATGCTCTAGTTTGTTGTTTAATTTTGTCATGAATCTACAAAAGAAACATTGTATTAGAAGTTTTGAAAAATCAGAGTACATCAGAACCACCTGAAAAGTTTGTTAATAAAAGATTCTTCTCTTACAGATACTCTCATTCTATAGACCGGAGGCTCTTAATTATACTTTTAACTCACTCTGGGGTGATTTTCAGGTGGGTGGGTCTGATTATTCTTTGAGAAAGAATATAAATGACAGAGAAAAAAATGGCGTAGATGATAGAGGCTCTGTTCATCCCTCTGGTGACCAAATCAAAGTTGTGATGGAAACAAGGAGCAAGCAGCAAGGAAAAATTGCCTGGGATCTAAAGAAATAAGCCATACAACTAGGGAGAAATCCAAGAAATCGCCCTGCAGTGGCAGAAGGTAGGACAGGGTGAGGATGCGGGGCTGCCCCTTTATGAGGCTTCTGCCTCTGCT